ATATATTTTATATTTATATTATTTAAAAATATATTAATTATTAATTTTATAAACTTGTTATATAAGTATATTTTATAGAATAAATGCTTATCTTGTGGGGTGCGAAGTAATTAAATCTAGCATAGCATATTGATATAAAACCAGATTGGCTAAAACTGCATAATTTACATATTTGGTAATAGAGTGAGATATTACAGTATTACATTTCTTAATTTATTAAAAAAATAAATCACAATGAATAAACAAAGATTGCTAGAATTATTAATTGTGTCCTGAAACAAAACAACTGTCGCTCGTACTGAAATAAACAGATCGCATCATATACATTGAAATTGTATCGCGAAACAAAATCCAAAAATTGCCTTGTGAAAAAAAAGATCTAAAAGTGCATTGTTAAACAATCATCTCCCAAAAAATGCTATAAACATATCATAAAACAAGTAGATCCAAATTACTCTACAAAAAAAAAATTTACAAAATGCATTGTGAACAATCAATATTTCATCATAAAATGCATATACCTTCAGATTTCTCTGCAGAACAATATCAAAGACTCCTCAAAACGAGCCTACTTAACCTTATTAATAACGATAATATTAGCAAGTTGGTCAAAAAATTTTGTAAGTTTTATAAATAAATTTACTGAGCCATCAATCAAAACTTATTAGTACATACTTTTTAGTTATGTTTGATAATTGTGAGTTGAATAATGCACCCACAACATAGGAAAAGTACATAGAACATAATGAAGATAGTGAAAATAATAAGCCCACAATGCAGGTGAAAAACAGCGAACATAGTAAAAATAGTGAAAATAATAAGCATTTAAAGCATATAATACAAGCTTATATACATAAAACTAATAGACTTACATCAATAAATCCAATTATAGTCACTTCTGAAGAAATTTCTAAAAGTATTTATTTCACTACATGGGATGAAGTAGAGGATTATCTTAATGACTATAGTGCTAGAAATGGTTTTGCGATAACTAAATATCAAGTAGAAAAAAGCAATTCAGATCAAATAATTAAAAGAACCTTTGTCTGTGAATTTTCTGGAAAGTATAAATCTAAAAAAAAACTAGAAGCAGCTTTAAATAGAACACAAAGAAATACGAAAACAAAAAAAACAAATTGCAAGTGGCATATCAACTTATCTTTATCAGAAGCTTCTCAAATTTCGATTATAACATACGTTAATTAACATAATTATACCCTTGATTCCGAAACCTGAGAATTTTCTATAAAATATAGATCATTAACTCAAGAGGTGATTAATGAAGTTAAACTTATGACAAGGCATGCTAATTTGTCACTTGTTGCACAAAAATAACTTCTGAAGGCTCGATTTCCAGACCTGAATTTTCAAGACCAGGATTTGGCAAATGCAATTCAAAAAGTAAAAAAGACAGCTGAAGTCAATAATGATGCATCGATTTTGCTTACTTCCTTAATGCAAAAAATACTAGAGGACCCACGTTGGGTTGTTGATTTTGAACTGGACCAAGACAATCACTTAGTTCGTCTTCTTTGGATGTCTTCTGGCCAAGTTGATCTTTGGCTCAAGTATTATGATGTCATTGTTAATGACAACACAACAAAAACTAATCAGTACCAAATGCCATTGGGAATTTTCATAGTAATTGATAATAAATGCAAAACTCGCCTCACCTGCCAAGTATTGATGAGTAACGAAACCATTGATACACATGTTTGGATACTTGAGCATATCAAAAAAGCTATAAGAAAAGCTCCAATCATTATATTTACAGATAGAGATCTTGCACTTGATACAGCTATTCCAATTGTTTTTCCTGAAACATATTCAGCCCACTGTATCTTTCATATTGCACAAAATTTACCCAAAAACTTAAAAGTGAAGTTGGGCAACAATTGGAATAATTTCATAAAAAATTTTTATAAGTGTCATAATAGTTTATATGAGTTTCTATTCAAAGAAAGATGAAACAAATTACTTACCGAATTTTCAATAGCAAAAGATTATTTTTTATGTGTATTGAATCCAAAATGTCATTTATGGGCTCATGCTTATCTTTACTGAGTATTCACAGTAGGCATTAAAAGCATATCAAGAGTCAAAAGTTACAATTAGGTCATCAAACAACAATTAAAAGTGAACAGTACTCTATGTGAGCTTGCTGATCAACTCAATACAAGATTAAAAGAAGAAGTGCAATGGGGCCAGTTTCATGATTATAAACAAGCAATTACAACAAATACCATTTCTATTGCTAGACAAGATTTGTTTCCTAAAATAGTAAACATTATTAATGAATATCTCACTGAACCTATTGCTAACACAATAAAAATAAAAATATCACAATGTCTATTTATCAGTGCAAAAAAGATTGAACCTACTATTGAAGAATTATATAGTGAACAAGTATATACATAAATTTTTTTTTGTACATAAAATTCAAGCTTACCTAATAGTATACCTTGTATTATAAGGAAAATAATCAACTAGTATACAATGGATTTATCAAAGACCAATTTGATGCATATCTTATTATGCTACAGGTACTTATTAATAAAATAGGATGGGAAGATGTATTAGAAATATGAAAAATTATGGATATAAGAAGTGAAAAAAAACACCACATCCATTTTGTTGTTATAGTCAATGCAGTATTATTTCTATGCTTGTGTCTAATATCAATTTCAAAAGGAATCATATGTAGACATTATTTTAGAGTGATGATGCACTCAAAAACACAGCATTCCACATCAGTATGATACCTCATAGATAATATAAAGATCATTATCAAGACAATTCTATTTCAGACAATCCAATATTTAATTATGAAATGGGTATTTTCAATAACAAGAATATCTTACCTATAAGAAAACCTGCTATGATTCTAACAACCATTCCTATGCACGTACGAATTCTGTGCCAGGTTATGACGATCATTTATCATGTGATAGTATTCGGGTACACAAAATATGATTGCAATATTTGTGAAACAATTCTATTGTTATCCGGAGAAGTTACGTGCCACGTGACTACAGCTACTACAAATTAGAGTAACCCGGCCCACTCGGGCTATTTCGGCTACGTAGGTTACGTAGAACTCAAAGGTTATGTCGGAAAAGTATGAGTTGGGGACGAAGTAGCAGTTGTAGCATACGTAGTATACATAGCATACGTAGGATACGTAGTATACGTAGGAGTTGTAGCATACGTAGTATACCAAATGTAAATAAAGAATTATAAT